ATTAAATTAGGATACAATATTTGTATGTCTTGAAATTTTTATTATGTAATATTTTAGTTGTTCTTTAAATAGAAAATTTTAGTTTAGCTCATATAGCTATAAAGTGATAAAAAACTTGTAAAATTGGATAACATCAATGCTCATATTTTATATATATCACTAGCTGACTAATGGTAGCATTTATTTCTATAGAAAATGCTAAAGGAAATCTTCATGAAAACGAGCTTCATATGGTGAATTATTCAGTTGAAATTGTTTAAGAGCAAATTTATATGTCCTGTTACATTTGTATGGAAGACAAATGATAAAGTTTCCTCCTTAAAAAACTATGAAACATTCATTTGTAATCTCAACGTTTTTGTGCTTTGAGATAAACAACTAATGTCAACATAGATAACTGATATAAATACAAGGACATTGAGCATTATTTTTACAACAAATATGTAAAATTTAAAAGACATCAAATTCTTGAAAATAAAGAAATAACATTGTGAATGTTGTCAATATTTTGTTTGATATGTACGAAACTAATACCAAGGTTAACAAATATATAAAAACAAAGGTTAATTTTACTTTTAAAATTTCTTTCCTATAAATCTTAAGTTTCAAATTTATTTCTGATACACACACATGTATAATACCACATGAAGCCTTTGTTTCGGATGCAAGAGAATCAACAAAATTACAAGTTCATGGCTGTTGACAGGTTCACAAAAGTTGTGTGTTTGTTATTCCAGATGAATGTAAAAAGATTATACCAAACTGCCCTTCTGACAAAATAATTATTCACTCTAACAGAACATATTATGTACATTTATATTTTATTGTAAAGTGATCTACATCCATTCAAAAATGTTATACCATTTCTCTCAAACATGTTATTTGTTAGCTATCTGTAATCTTGATGTTTATGTCCAATATTTCTATATTAGTTATAAAAAAAACAAACTTTTCTTTAACATTATATAATGTACCTTGGTTAGCTATCACTACTATCTTTTATTTTACCTCTGTTATAAAATGTTTATTTCAATCACTATAGCTATATAAATGCAGTTTTAAACTACAAAGTTCAGTTATTTAGGAAGGGAAATAATATTTATTACAGTGGAAAAGTAAAGATTCACCGACAGATATATAAACTTAACGTACATACAGGTATTTATATTTCTTATGTGTTATCTTGTTATAGACAATGCTGTCTCCTGGAAATTTCTTTTAATTTCTTCTTCAGTAGTTCCAAATCTACTCTGTGCTTCATTAAAAATTTTCCATTAATATGAAAAACTGGAATTTCATATTGATACTTTCCAAACCAATATCTGTTTTCTGGTTTGGTAATATCAACCTCTTCTAGCTGAATTTGATCCATAACAGGAAGAAGTTGAATTTTAGCATCCTCACAAAGTGAGCAAGGGTATTTTGTGTACAATGTTAGAATTGGTCTGTGATGATTGTAGGCTTCATCTTCACTTGGCCTATAGTACAGAGGGTTGGTGGTTAGTATTTAATATTACAATTACTACCTGGTTATTAAAATATATATATAGTTTATCAAGATTCTGCCATTCTTAACATTTAAAAAATTTGTGATAAATTAGAAATTGTTTAAGTGTACTAGTTTCTTCAGTTTATTTAAATGTTTGCATAATAACTGGTTTAAAATTGTTGGGAACTTTTAGTCTCAAAACATTAAAAATTAAATTGCATCAATTCTTAAAAATACTAAAAGTGCCCATTTCTGAAACAAAGTAAATGAATGAATCTAGTTAACTTTGCCTAAGATACCCATTGTTTCAAGTCTTATGAACTGCACCACGTGTTGCAAATTTTCTCCTTATGCATTCTTTCATCCAAGATTGTTGAACTTTAGAAGTACCCATTTATGCTTTGAAAGAATGTTAAACCATCTAAAATTACATTCATCCAATGTAGCATCAATTGTTCCTTTTTTTATTAACATTATTAAATATCCTAAACCTATGAAATACAGAAAAACTGGATAACTTGGATGATTTTACCTACAAACTAGTTTCTGATAAAACTATTCTGGTTTATGGAAGGTTTTCACGAGCGTCATCCCCCTGTATGGAGACATATTGATATACTAGAGCAAGTTTTCCTCAGTTCCACGACGATACATGTTAGCAGATCAAAATACCATCTCCAAACAGACAAGTGTTAAACCTCTTCAGATGTATGATAATACTCTGCCTAAACCTTAATAGGAGTACCATTTTATTTTTTCATTTAATTTGTGGATATCAGGTGGTAATTATTTATTTGTTCAATGTTTACACTTACTTCAAATAATGATTTCACATAACTATCTACAGAATAAATATAATGTAGATTTAGGAGCAGAGAGATAAAGGGGGTTTCAATCTATATTTTATTATACCACATATTACAAAACCTACCTATCACAGATAGTAAATAATATGTATCTAGTTACATATAAACAACATCAAGTGTAGTATTAAAGGTTACTGTTCAAGATACTCATGTAAATATAATGAGTCTCAACAGTCTCAAAACAGACACTCTACCTGTTTCGATGCTGAATCACATCACCTTCAAGAGTGTGAAGTGAGTGCACTCCATATATATGTGTGTGTGTGTGAATACATACAGATAAAGCCATTGATCACATGACTACTTAGTTTACATGCTGAATGTAAAGATCATGCCACCTGCATACTCTCCAACTTTCCAACACTTCATTTTTTATATAAAATATATGATAATTATTTTAGTATGTTTCATTACTTCTATAACTTCTCTGATATTTCTATCATATCATTCAGTTAAGCCAAAACAAATTTTTTCCCACTGAATGATATGGCTTGCATGTTCAATTATTGCAGAATTTTCATTATATTTTTAACATTTCTCTTATGTTTGTTTATTTTAAAATTTAAATTTCTTCTAATTTGACAAATGTATACTCAACTACATTCACAATCAATTTTATAAATGCCTGTTTTCTCCACTAGATTAATTACATCTTTAGTTTTATTTAATAGCTGACTAATTTTATTCAAAGGTCTACAAATTGGAATAATATTTATTAGTTCTTTTAAATTTTTGAAAAATTTGACATGACAAATCTGAAACATATGGTAGAAATAAAATTTCCATTTTATCAAATGTTGATTTTATTTTACTTTTTTATCATCATTTGAGGAAATTTATTACAATTACAGTTCCCAAAACAATGCACTTAAAAATATTAATTTAAAACAATGGCGATTTTTCTAATTAATAAATTTTAATACCACTTAAAACTACAGTTGGTGAGACTGTCTTTATCGAAAAAATTTAGTTTATAGATTATTTCCAATTTAAAATTTGTTGCTTCTTTTACAGTGACATAACCCTTAAATGTTTTATTGTGTTAATGCTAACCACAACAATTTATTTTCTTGTTATTTATAATGAAAATTCTTATAAAACCAAAATTTTAAACAAACTTTAAGTCAATCACTTTGTGAATAAATCTTGGGTAAGTCATTGATGGTATACAAAAAAAAATTATTGCACCCAACTTTGTTTAAAAGAAAACACTGAGAACTCAAAATGTATTATTTACATATTTATAATTATAAATATAATTTGGATGGGAATAACCTTAACAGTGTTATGAAGGAAAGGGATCTTGGTGTAATAGTCGATCAGTCTCTAAAGCCATCCACGCAGTGTGCTGTTGCTAGTGGTAGGGCAAATAGAATTTTAGCTTGTATCTACAGAAATACTGAATACAAGTCTAAAGAGGTGATAATTTCATTGTACAGGTACATTGGTTAAGCCACATTTG